ACTCAACAAATCTCAATCCTATGGCGTTTCACAAAACCTTTTGCATTTTCATTATTCGGAATAGCACCCATAATGGAATCGGATATGGGGCGCTTAATAATTTTCAAACAAAGTTTTTTAGTCATTCCCACTTTTCATACTCAGCTACATATTCAGGATCGCTTTTATCTGTGGGTTTCGAAAGCTGACTCTCCATTGCAAAATCCAACCCCAAAAGATCAAGTGCTATTTCTACGTCTCGTTTCCATTTCACATAGTTATTCCCAGTCAAAGTTTCAATAGCAGACAATTGACTCGAAAGAGTCGAGGCATTTAAAACTGTGAAAACATAAAATAACATATTTAATATCATCCAAACATAGTACATGCTGACAATGGATGATAACATATTCATCTAATTAACATGGGCTAAATAATTAGATAATCTGTAATTAAAGTCAAAATTAAATGAACATTATTACGATAAGAGCCTAGATGCATCATTATAAAGTCACATTTGGGCTAACGATATAACATGTTGTAAGGTACTCTTAAAACACATAATCAAGTTAGTTAACAAAACAAATTGGTTTTCGAAACACCAACACCTTTGGGCAGAAGGAGATTTCTAGATCAATAAAAATTGTTCACTGTTTTATGCCAATTTCCAAAAAATATCACATATAATAACACCTTTGGGCAAGATACTATATGTAATAATTCAAAATTACGATACTAATTTTTTTTTTAAGAAGAAAACTAAATAAATAAAAATGAGTGTGCCACTTTAGTAGCTACCACCCACTTTTATTTCAAAATATTTGTCATAATGGGAGCACTTAAATAGACTTGAAGTCCACGAAAAAATTAATTATAATAATCACGCAATATAATCGTAATCATTAACTGACGAAAAGCGAAATTCATGCGCGATTATGAGACGAAATTGGCAACTTAAATTTCAATACGTGAAATGAAATTTAAATGGACAACTAATAACGACATTTAATTATTTAAAAAATATAAAGTCAGCAAATACAATTTTTATTTTAGGTCACAATTGAAACATAGTGGATCAAATTTAAAAAATCTCATTTTTAAAATTTCAAATGTAATATTTCAAAGTTGCAAAATTGATCTTAAAACTAAAATTATGAAAAGGGGCCTCAAAATTTAGAAATTACATAACAGGTCCATTACCCATAAATTACAGATTGATCCTTAGTTAAATTGTAGGACAAGCCCCCAAAAATCCACAAATTGCAGGAGGGGCCCTTGATGGTTAATTGCAAGAAAATGGCTCACTTTATCAAAATTGCATGTAAGCCCCCGTCTCCACCCAAAACTGAAAACCCTAGGCTTCAAATTTTGGTATTTCGTTAGGTCAACTCTGATTATCCATAAACATTACCAAAAGCTTCAGTTCATGACATATATAACACTTAAGCACATTTGTTTCAAATGTCACATGAACAGGTATGAATTTAACCACAAAGCAAAACGCAGTTGGTAATATGTTATTTCTAAGTCATCAAGTTAAGAGACCCATCTAAATTAATTGAAGAGAGAAAACTTATAAGCACCAAAAGCTTATATCTCTTTATAGCATATAAGTTTTCACAGCTCATTCAACAAATTGAAAGGGCCTATAAGCTTGTAGAAAAGACAAAGGCTTGATTACTAGCCATACTCAAAAAGCTTCTCAACAAAATTGAAATGCTCTCCCTTGGGCTTATGAGTAAAATTAAACACCCTTAAGAGCTTATAAGCAGTAAAAGCCAAGGGCTATTATGGGACAAAGATGAGTTTCTGAGTACTCAATAATTATTAACAACGACAGATGGGACAATTAGATTCATCATATTAATTACTCAAATTACAAGTTACAGGTGTCCAATACAAGGAATTATAGCTCAAGTGCCATAGGGGTATCAATCCAGTATATTCATCACTTGATTAGAGGAAGCAATAAATATAGAACTACAGACCATGTATTATTTGATAAGAAAACTAAGACAAGAACTCACGGGTCATCCATATCAAAATTAAAATCACAACCATATTGCAATTTATACCA